TTAAATCATTTTTCCCCCTCATCAATCTACACACGATACCCCATAATGACAAAGCAAAAAACGTTTTTTAGAACTTTTTGCAAATGTATAATAAAAAACAACCTGAAATATCACATTTACATAAGTATTCAGACGCTTTACTCAGTACTTTGTTGAAGCACCTTTGGCAACGATTACAGCCTCAAGTCTTCTTGGGTATGGCGCTACAAGCTTGGTACACCTGTATTTGGGGAGTTTCTCCCATTATTTTCTGCAGATCCCCTCAAGCTCTGTCAGTTTGGATGGGGAGTGTCGCTGCACAGCTATTTTCAGGTCTCTCCAGAGATGTTTGATCGGGTTCAAGTCCGGGCTCTGGCTGGGCCACTCAAGGATATTCAGAGACTTGTCCTGAAGCCACTCCTGCGTTGTCTTGGCTGTGTGCTTAGGGTCGTTGTCCTGTTGGAAGGTGAACCTTCGCCCCAGTCTGAGGTCCTGAGTGCTCTGGTGCAGGTTTTCATCAAGGATCTCTCTGTACTTTGCTCCGTTCATCTTTCCCTCGATCCTGACTAGTCTACCAGTCCCCGCCGCTGAAAAACATCCCCACAGCATAATGCTGCCACCACCATGCTTCACCGTAGGGATGGTGGCAGGTTTCCTCCACACGTGACGCTTGGCATTCAGGCCAAAGAGTTCAATCTTGATTTCATCAGACCAGAGAATCTTGTTTCTCATGGTCTGAGAGTCCTTTAGGTGCCTTTTGGCAAACTCCAAGCGGGCTGTCATGTGCCTTTTACTGAGGAGTGGCTTCCGTTTGGCCACTCTACCATAAAGGCCTGTTTGGTGGAGTGCTGCAGAGATGGTTGTCCTTCTGGAAGGTTCTCCCATCTCCACAGAGGAACTCTGGAGCTCTATCAGAGTGACCATCGGGTTCTTGGTCACCTCCCTGACCAAGGCCCTTCTCCCCTGATTGCTCAGTTTGGCCGGGCGGCCAGCTCTAGGAAGAGTCTTGGTGGTTCCAAACTTCTTCCATTTAAGAATGATGGAGGCCACTGTGTTCTTGGGGACCTTCAAAGCTGCAGAAATGTTTTGGTACCCTTCCCCAGATCTGTGCCTCGACACAATCCTGTCTCTGAGCTCTATTGACAATTCCTTTGACCTCATGGCTTGGTTTTTGCTCTGACATGCACTGTCAATTGTTGGACCTTATATAGACAGTTGTGTGCCTTTCCAAATCATGTCCAATCAATTGAATTTACCACTGGTGGACTCCAATCAAGTTGTAGAAATGTCTCATGGATGATCAATGGAAACAGGATGCACCTGAGCTCAATTTCGAGTCTCATAGCAAAGGGTCTGAATAAATATGGTATTTCTGTTTTTTTATTTTTAATACTTTTGCAAAATAATTAAACATCTGTTTTCGCTTTGTCATTATGGGGTATTGTGTGTAGATTGATGGGGGGGGGGAAATAATGCTGTAACGTAACAAAATGTGGAAAAAGTCAAGGGATCTGAATACTTTCCGAATGCACTGTATCTCCCCTCCTCCCTCTCCCCAGAAGCGGGCCCCTCTCCCTCCTCGCACATCTCCTCACTCGAGACGCCTCGCATATCATAGACTAATCCCTCCCATCTAGCCCCTCTCTTCCTCCCTCCCTCCTCCCCTCTCCTCTCCCCTCTGCCATCTCCTCTCTCCTCCCCCTCCCCTCTCTGCCTCTCCTCTCCTCATCCCCTGCTCTCTCCTCTCCTCCTCTGCCTCTCCCCCTCTGCCTCTCCCTCTCCTCCTCTCCTGCCCTGTAGTGGACTACCTGCCCATCATTGCAGGGCTGGCGGCGGCTGCCATAGTGATCCTCTTGGTGATCTCCTGTTTCATCTACTCCTCTTACTATAAACACACCCGCATGGGCCACTACCAACTGAAAGACATGTTGCCACGACGACACAAGAACAAACACGTGGCGCACCACAACGGAATGGATCAGTCCAGCATGTAGAGGAGGCGGGACTTAGAGAGAAAAAACACACCAGAGTTGGTTGGGGACAGAGCATGTGAGCAGAGTTGAGCGTTTGGAAATCCCGATGAGAGGTGCAGCGCTCCATGTCCTTTCCCATGGCTCCCTCACAGGAATAAAGAAACACTACTCCAAACTCGCTCCATTCATTACAATTTAACAAACACCCATCTATTTTTGTGACTACCTGGACCTACCAGTTGTTTTTAAGTATTGAAACCGAACCTTATGGATTTTAATGAAAAGTATTTGAATAAACATGAAACGGTGAATGTAAGAAGCGAACATCATTTCAAATAGACTACATGTCATATTAAACAGCATATAAACACTCTAAATAGGTCAGGAGCCAGACAGGGAGCCTAAGAAGGAACGAAAATGAATTATTTAGGATATATTATTTCAATGTTTTCAAGGCTGATAAAACACACAGGTGCTAAATCAAGATGACTTACAAAGATGAGGACCAAAGAGCAAGAGAGGGAGTGTGGTGATGTAGTGTCCACTGTTATGTGTAAGGCTTGGATGCCACCTGCTGGTAGGGTTCTAAACATTGTTCTACTATAGCAGTCGTTACACACGCTGACTACATGAAACATCCACAACTAAAGAAGCATTGTGGAATCTGAAGACACTTATCCCAAAAGCATGATGGTGTATTCCATGATTTTGGAATGAGATGTTCGACAAGCAGGTGTCCACATACCTTTGGTCATGGAGTGTATCTGGTTACACTTGCAGACAGGCGGAAAATCAAATGCTACGTTTTTCAATTGCAGATCATGTTAATTTCAGTATTTATTAACTTCCATTGCATTGTCTAATTCACTCAGTCATCATAAAGTACCAAATAACAGGATATGTGTGCAAAGCAAGCACTATTATATCTGTATGCATATGTGTGTGTAGATGAAAGCATTTATTTTGTATATACACTGCTCAAAAAAATTAATGGAACACTAAAATAACACATCATAGATCTGAATGAATGAAATAATCTTATTAAATACTTTTTTCTTTACATAGTTGAATGTGCTGACAACAAAATCACACAAAAATTATCAATGGAAATCAAATTTATCAACCCATGGAGGTCTGGATTTGGAGTCACCCTCAAAATTAAAGTGGAAACCACACTACAGGCTGATCCAACTTTGATGTAATGTCCTTAAAACAAGTCAAAATGAGGCTCAGTAGTGTGTGTGGCCTCCACGTGCCTGTATGACCCCCCTACAACGCCTGGGCATGCTCCTGATGAGGTGGCGGATGGTCTCCTGAGGGATCTCCTCCCAGACCTGGACTAAAGCATCCGCCAACTCCTGGACAGTCTGTGGTGCAACGTGGCGTTAGTGGATGGAGTGAGACATGATGTCCCAGATGTGCTCAATTGGATTCAGGTCTGGGGAACGGGCGGGCCAGTTCATAGCATCAATGCCTTCCTCTTGCAGGAACTGCTGACACACTCCAGCCACATGAGGTCTAGCATTGTCTTGCATTAGGAGGAACCCAGGGCCAACCGCACCAGCATATGGTCTCACAAGGGGTCTGAGGATCTCATCTCGGTACCTAATGGCAGTCAGGCTACCTCTGGCGAGCACATGGAGGGCTGTGCGGCCCCCCAAAGAAATGCCACCCCACACCATGGCTGACCCACCGCCAAACCGGTCATGCTGGAGGATGTTGCAGGCAGCAGAACGTTCTCCACTGCGTCTCCAGACTCTGTCACGTCTGTCACGTGCTCAGTGTGAACCTGCTTTCATCTGTGAAGAGCACAGGGTGCCAGTGGCGAATTTGCCAATCTTGGTGTTCTCTGTCAAATGCCAAACGTCCTGCACGGTGTTGGGCTGTAAGCACAACCCCCACCTGTGGACGTCGGGCCCTCATACCACCCTCATGGAGTCTGTTTCTGACCGTTTGAGCAGACACATGCACATTTGTGGCCTGCTGGAGGTCATTTTGCAGGGCTCTGGCAGTGCTCCTCCTGCTCCTCCTTGCACAAAGGCGGAGGTAGCAGTCCTGCTGCTGGGTTGTTGCCCTCCTACGGCCTCCTCCACGTCTCCTGATGTACTGGCCTGTCTCCTAGTAGCGCCTCCATGCTCTGGACACTACGCTGACAGACACAGCAAACCTTCTTGCCACAGCTCGCATTGATGTGCCATCCTGGATGAGCTGCACTACCTGAGCCACTTGTGTGGGTTGTAGACTCCGTCTCATGCTACCACTAGAGTGAAAGCACCGCCAGCATTCAAAAGTGACCAAAACATCAGACAGGAAGCATAGGAACTGAGAAGTGGTCTGTGGTCACCACCTGCAAAACCAGTCCTTTATTGGGGGTGTCTTGCTAATTGCCTATAATTTCCACCTGTTGTCTATTCCATTTGCACAACAGCATGTGAAATGTATTGTCAATCAGTGTTGCTTCCTAAGTGGACAGTTTGATTTCACAGAAGTGTGATTGACTTGGAGTTACATTGTGTTGTTTAAGTGTTCCCTTTATTTTTTTGAGCAGTGTATTTTCCTATAAAGAACCATTTGGAAGTACTCATGTGTAACTTGATGTAATTTCAACAAAAAAATCTGCTTTTTGCTACTTGTGCGCTCTCTTGTGGCTGAAGCTATATATTACATTTGTGATTATAAACATAATGTACCTTAACGTTTTTGTCTCTAGAATAAAGAAACATTCCACAGAGATTAAAATGAGCTAAGTCTACAAATGTCAAGGTTTACTTTTACAGTGAATTATTAGCTCAGAAACCTCTGCTTCTCGAAGACTCCAAAGCCATCTCCGTCGCATGATTTCTACGTCACACTCCCTCGCAGATCGGACGCAACAGAGCTTTCCAGAAAATACTTCTGAGCTGAAGCGTCGAGTCGAGGGCGTCGGAGAAAGTTTAGCGCGCATTTTCTCTCTTTCAACAGGACCAAAGTGTATATTTTCCTTCCATTTAGTGTGTTGTTGTTGCGTGGACTTCCCACGGAAAGAGAAGGAGGAGAGAGGGCTAGAAGATGACGACTAGGACTATTGATTACAGTGTGTGGGACCACATCGAAGTATCGGATGATGAGGATGAGACTCACCCCAATATCGACACCCCGAGCCTTTTCCGATGGAGGCATCAGGTAGCTATGACAACAGGCGATATGTCTTCACTAAAATAATAATACATATGTAGCTACATTACTAGCTAGTCAGCTAGCGACAGTAGCTAACTAGTTATGTCAGCAAACACTAGCTAGCTATCTTCTTAGCCAAGTGTCATAGCCATAGAAATCACGACAGCCGGCTAATCTAGTTAGCTGGTCAGCTAAAGTGACTAACGTTAATCCAACTGGCTAAAGTGCTAGCTAGCTAGGCTTAGCTCTGGTCCAGGGCGTTAGCTAGGCAAGACTTTCAAGATTTGGGCTTTACAGCAGTAGCCTAGTTGCTCAATAAGAGTTTGTCCACAGCTCTAGCGCTCTTTCTCTCTCTCTCTGTCGGTCTCTGTCTGTCTCTCTCGCTCTGTCTCTCTCTTCCTGTCTCTCTTGCGCAGTAAAAGTTTGCCCACAGCTCTAGCGCTCTCTCTCTCTGTCTGTCTCTCCCTGTCTCTATTGCCCAATAAGAGTTTGTCCACAGCTCTAGCGCTCTCTCTCTCTCTGTCTCTCCCTGTCTGTCTGTCTCTCCCTGTCTCTATTGCCCAATAAGAGTTTGTCCACAGCTCTAGCGCTCTCTCTCTCTCTGTCTCTCCCTGTCTGTCTGTCTCTCCCTGTCTCTATTGCCCAATAAGAGTTTCTCCACAGCTCTAGCGCTCTCTGTCTGTCTGTCTGTCTGTCTGTCTGTCTGTCTATCTCTCCCTGTCTCTATTGCCCAATAAGAGTTTGTCCACAGCTCTAGCGCTCTCTCTCTCTCTGTCTCTCCCTGTCTGTCTGTCTCTCCCTGTCTCTATTGCCCAATAAGAGTTTGTCCACAGCTCTAGCGCGCTCTCTCTGTCTGTCTGTCTGTCTGTCTCTCCCTGTCTCTATTGCCCAATAAGAGTTTCTCCACACAGCCCGTGATGCACCTTAACCTTGGCTAGCTACATCATAAATTAATCCAGCAGAATTGTGCTAGGTGCAATATCTTGCCTTGGACAGAACGTTTGTTTAGCTTCTTTTTCTTTGGGATTGGGTTGGCGGATTGCATCCAACTTTTAAGTTGCATACACCGCCAACTATTGTACTGGAGTGTGAGGCCAGTCACGGCCTACCTACATTAAGTTATCTTCATTAGTCCTGTTCCTCTAAGACGTTTGGTTAGCTAGCTAATAGGCTAACTGTTAAACAACAACAATGTTACTATCTCCTCCCACCCCTCCACCCTCCTCTCACCCCTCCACCCTCCTCTCCTCCCTCCTCCACCCTTCCATGTCCCTCCCATCTTTCATCTCTCCTCCACCCTCTCTCCATTACTCTAATCTTCCACTGCACCTCCCTCCACCTTCCTCTCCTCCCTCCTCCACCCTTCCATGTCCCTCCCATCTTTCATCTCTCCTCCACCCTCTCTCCATTACTCTAATCTTCCACGGCACCTCCCTCCACCCTCCTCTCCTCCCTCCTCCACCCTTCCATGTCCCTCCCATCTTTCATCTCCTCCACCCTCTCTCCATTACTCTAATCTTCCACTGCACCTCCCTCCACCTCCCTCCACCTTCCTCTCCTCCCTCCTCCCTCCTTCCCCCACCCTTCCATGTCCCTCCCATCTTTCATCTCTCCTCCACTCTCTCTCCACTACTCTAATCTTCCACTGCACCTCCATCTCTCCCTCCTAGGCGCGTGTGGAGAAACAGGTGGCCTTCGAGGAGAAAGGAGAGGAGCTGGAGAGGAACATGGCGGAGTGTAAGAGACGTCTGGAGGAGGTGCAGTACAGAGTGAAGGAGTTAGAGGAGGGAGGACAGAAGGAAGGAGCGGAGGAGGAGAGGAAGACAGAGCTGAGCAAGGCCCAGACAGAGGAGAAGAAATACAAAAAGGATCAACGCTTGTGGGAGAAGAAGATGGAGGAACATCGGAGAGAGGAGAAAAAGATGCCTTGGAACGTTGACACGCTCAGCAAAGAGGGATTCAGCAAGGTGAGATATTTTGTGTGTAGCATTTCGCTACACCCGCAACAACATCTGCTAAATATGTGTATGTAAACCAATAACATTTGATTTGAGATGCACCACACCCTCAACAAAGAGGGCTTCAGCCAGGTGAGATAGGAAGACAAGACATGACTTTGTAGAAGGATAAATCATGAAGATGTGGGCTATCATCACTACTATTGATGTCACATGTTATCCCTCTATTAGCCTACTGTCTACTGAAAATATCTTTCCCTCCCCCCTCCTCCTCCTCCTCCCTCCTCCTCCTCCTCCTCCCCCCTCCTCCTCCTCCTCCTCCCCCCTCCTCCTCTCCCCTCCTCCTCCCTCCTCCCCCCCCCCCATCCCTTCTTCCCCCCAGAGTGTGTTGAACATCAAGCCGGAACCGACAGAAGAGACGGAGGAACAGAAGGAAGAGAAACACCAGACCTTTGTGGAGAAACACGAGAAACAGATCAAACACTTTGGTGAGTTTCAGATTCGCTGTCTATCTCTAGACTTTTCTCCCTCTGTCTGTTTCAACACACAACTAAACTATTTAATGTCTATCTGTAGGGATGCTGCGGCGTTGGGAGGACAGTCAGAAGTACCTGTCTGACCACCCTTACCTGGTGTGTGAAGAGACGGCTAACTACCTGGTCATCATGTGTATAGACCTGGAGGTGGAGGAGGTGAGGGGGGGGGGGTGTTTACATCTTTCTGTGTGTGTGTCTTTGTGTATGTTAACCTGTGTGTGTGTGTGTGTGTCTTTGTGTATGTTAACCGGTGGCTTGCGAAAATATTCACCCCCCATGGCATTTTTCCTATTTTGTTGCCATACAACCTGGAATTAAAATTGATTTTTGGAGGGTTTGTATAATTTGATTTACACAACATGCCTACCACTTTTAAGATGCAAAATATATTTTTTGTGAAACAAACAAGAAATAAGACAAAAAAAACTAACTTGAGCGTGCATAACTATTCCCCCCCCCAAGTCAATACTTTGTAGAGCCACCTTTTGCAGCAATTACAGCTGCAAGTCTCTTGGGGTATGTCTCTATAAGCTTGGCACATCTAGCCACTGGGATTTTTGCCCATTCTTCAAGGCAAAACTGCTCCAGCTCCTTCAAGTTGGATGGGTTCAGCTGGTGTACAGCAATCTTTAAGTCATACCACAGATTCTCAATTGGATTGAGGTCTGGGCTTTGACTAGGTCATTCCAAGACATTTCAATGTTTCCCCTTAAACCACTCGAGTGTTGCTTTAGCAGTATGCTTAGGGTCATTGTCCTGCTGGAAGGTGAACCTCCGTCCCAGTCTCAAATCTCTGGAAGACTGAAACAGGTTTCCCTCAAGAACTTCCATGTATTTAGCGGCATCCATCATTCCTTCAATTCTGACCAGTTTCCCAGTCCCTGCCGATGGAAAAACATCCCCACAGCATGATACTGCCACCACCATGCTTCACTGTGGGGATGGCGTTCTCGGGGTGATGAGAGGTGTTGGTTTTGCGCCAGACATAGCGTTTTCCTTGATGGCCAAAAAGCTCAATTTTAGTCTCATCTGACCAGAGTACCTTCTTCCATATGTTTGGGGAGTCTCCCACATGCCTTTTGGCGAACACCAAACGTGTTTGCTTATTTTTTTCTTCAAGCAGTGGCTTTTGTCTGGCCACTCTTCCGTAAAGCCCAGCTCTGTGGAGTGTACGGCTTAAAGTGGTCCTATGGACAGATGCTCAAATCTCCACTGTGGAGCTTTGCAGCTCCTTCAGGGTTATCTTTGGTCTCTTTGTTGCCTCACTGATTAATGCACTCCTTGCCTGGTCCGTGAGCTTTGGCAGATTGTTGTGCCATATTCTTTCAATTTTTTAATAATGGATTTAATGGTGCTCCGTGGGATGTTCAAAGTTTCTGATATTTTTTTAATAACCCAACCCTGATCTGTACTTCTCCACAACTATGTACCTGACCTGTTTGGAGAGCTCCTTGGTCTTCATTGTGCCGCTTGCTTAGTGGTGCCCCTTGCTTAGTGGTGTTGCAGACTCTGGGGCCTTTCAGAACAGGTGTATATATACTGATATCATGTGACACTTAGATTGCACACAGGTGGACTTCATTTAACTAATTATGTGACTTCTGAAGGTAATTGGTGGTACCAGATCTTATTTAGGGGCTTCATAGCAAAGGGGGTGAATACATACAGTGGGGAAAAAAAGTATTTAGTCAGCCACCAATTGTGCAAGTTCTCCCACTTAAAAAGATCAGAGAGGCCTGTAATTTTCATCATAGGTACATGTCAACTATGACAGACAAATTGAGGGAAAAAAATCCAGAAAATCACATTGTAGGATTTTTTATGAATTTATTTGCAAATTATGGTGGAAAATAAGTATTTGGTCACCTACAAACAAGCAAGATTTCTGGCTCTCACAGACCTGTAACTTCTTCTTTAAGAGGCTCCTCTGTCCTCCACTCGTTACCTGTATTAATGGCACCTGTTTGAACTTGTTATCAGTATAAAAGACACCTGTCCACAACCTCAAACAGTCACACTCCAAACTCCACTATGGCCAAGACCAAAGAGCTGTCAAAGGACACCAGAAACAAAATTGTAGACCTGCACCAGGCTGGAAAGACTGAATCTGCAATAGGTAAGCAGCTTGGTTTGAAGAAATCAACTGTGGGAGCAATTATTAGGAAATGGAAGACATACAAGACCACTGATAATCTCCCTCAATCTGGGGCTCCATGCAAGATCTCACCCCGGAACCACAAAAAATCCCAGAACCACACGGTTCTGGGATTTTGGTGAATGACCTGCAGAGGTGAATGACCTGCAGAGAGCTGGGACCAAAGTAACAAAGCCTACCATCAGTAACACACTACGCCGCCAGGGACTCAAATCCTGCAGTGCCAGACGTGTCCCCCTGCTTAAGCCAGTACATGTCCAGGCCCGTCTAAAGTTTGCTATGCTAGAGTGCATTTGGATGATCCAGAAGAGGATTGGGAGAATGTCATATGGTCAGATGAAACCAAAATATAACTTTTTGGTAAAAACTCAACTCGTCGTGTTTGGAGGACAAAGAATGCTGAGTTGCATCCAAAGAACACCATACCCACTGTGAAGCATGGGGGTGGAAACATCATGCTTTGGGGCTGTTTTTCTGCAAAGGGACCAGGACGACTGATCCGTGTAAAGAAAGAATGAATGGGGCCATGTATCGTGAGATTTTGAGTGAAAACCTCCTTCCATCAGCAAGGGCATTGAAGATTAAACGTGGCTGGGTCTTTCAGCATGACAATGATCCCAAACACACCGCCCGGGCAACGAAGGAGTGGCTTCGTAAGAAGCATTTCAAGGTCCTGGAGTGGCCTAGCCAGTCTCCAGATCTCAACCCCATAGAAAATCTTTGGAGGGAGTTGAAAGTCTGTGTTGCCCAGCGACAGCCCCAAAACATCACTGCTCTAGAGGAGATCTGCATGGAGGAATGGGCCAAAATACCAGCAACAGTGTGTGAAAACCTTGTGAAGACTTACAGAAATTTTGACCTGTGTCATTGCCAACAAAGGGTATATAACAAAGTATTGAGAAACTTTTGTATTTGACCAAATACTTATTTTCCACCATAATTTGCAAATAAATTCATTAAACATCCTACAATGTGATTTTCTGGAATTTTTTTCCTCATTTTGTCTGTCATAGTTGACGTGTACCTATTATGAAAATTACAGGCCTCTCTCATCTTTTTAAGTGGGAGAACTTGCACAATTGGTGGCTGACTAAATACTTTTTTCCCCCACTGTATGCACGCACAACGTTTCCGTTATTTATTTTTTTGAATATTTTTGAAGCAAGTAATTTTTTTTTCATTTCACTTCACCAATTTGGACTATTTTGTGTATGTCCATTACATAAAATCCAAATAAAAATCAATTTAAATTACAGGTTGTAATGCAACAAAATAGGAAAAAGGCCAAGGGGGATGAATACTTTTGCAAGGCACTGTATGTGTTTGTGTGTCTGTATCTTTGTGTATGTTAACCTGTGTGTGTGGTGTGTGTGTGGTGTGGTGTGTGTGTGTGTGTGTGTGTGTGGTGTGTGTGTGTTTGGTATGGTAACCTGTGTGTGGTGTGTGTGTGTGTGTGTGTGTGGTGTTGTGTGGGTGTGTGTGTGGTGTGTGTGGTGTGTTCTGTATCTTTGTGTATGTTAAACCTGTGTGTGTGTGTGTGGTGTGTGGGGTGTGTGTGTGTTGTGTGTGTGTGGGTGTGTGTGGTGTGTGTGTGATGTTAACCTGTGGTGTGTGTGGTGTGTGTGTGTGTGTGTGGTGTGTGTGTGGTGTGTGTGGTGTGTGTGTGGGTGTGTGTGGTGTGTGTGTGTGTGTGTGTGTGTGTGTGTGTGTAGAAACATGGTTTGATGGATCAGGCAGCTCACCAGACCATAGTGATGCAGTTTATCTTGGAGCTGGCTAAGAGTCTGAAGATTGACCCTCGAGGATGCTTCAGACAGTTCTTCCAAAAGATCAAGGTAGGCGTGTTGCCTTTATTCATTTTAAGGCCGGGATTCAATCAGAGGCGCCTTGTTGAATACAGAAACAAAAACGCTGCAGATATCGGCTCAAGTGGAAATGACCTTTTAAATGCAAAGCGCTGTTCTCTTGTTGATAAAGCCCCTTTTGATTGAATCCCGGCTTTATGAGTTGATGCCCCTTTTGATTGATCCCGGCTTTATGAGTTGATGCCCCTTTTGATTGAATCCCGGCCTTTATGAGTTGATGCCCTTGTGATTGAATCCGGCTTTATGAGTTGATGCCCCTTTTGATTGAATAGCCGGCTTTATGAGTTGAAGCCCCTTTTGATGAATCCCGGCTTATGAGTGATGCCCCTTTGATTGAATCCCGGCTTATGAGTGATGCCCTTTTGATTGAATCCCGGCTTATGAGTTGATGCCCTTTGATGAATCCCGGCTTTATGAGTTAAAGTCCCTTTTGATTGAATCACGGCTTATGAGTTGATTTCCTTTTTGATTGAATCCCGGCTTTATGAGTTGAAGCCCTTTGATTGAACCCCGGCTTTATGAGTTGATGCCCCTTTGATGAATCCGGCTTTATGAGTTGATGCCCTTTTGATTGAATCCCGGCTTTGAGTTGATGCCCCTTTTGATTGAATCCCGGCTTTATGAGTTGATGCCCCTTTTGATTGAATCCCGGCTTTATGAGTTGATGCCCCTTTTGATTGAATCCCGGCTTTATGAGTTGATGCCCCTTTTGATTGAATCCCGGCTTTATGAGTTGATGCCCCTTTTGATTGAATCCCGGCTTTATGAGTTGATGCCCCTTTTGATTGAATCCCGGCTTTATGAGTTGATGCCCCTTTTGATTGAATCCCGGCTTTATGAGTTGATGCCCCTTTTGATTGAATCCCGGCTTTATGAGTTGATGCCCCTTTTGATTGAATCCCGGCTTTATGAGTTGATGCCCCTTTTGATTGAATCCCGGCTTTATGAGTTGATGCCCCTTTTGATTGAATCCCGGCTTTATGAGTTGATGCCCCTTTTGATTGAATCCCGGCTTTATGAGTTGATGCCCCTTTTGATTGAATCCCGGCTTTATGAGTTGATGTATAACTTTGAGTTGTTTAACTTCACGTGTGTGTCCATATACAGTGCTGCTTGGAAGTATGTGAACCCCTTTGTGCAATTGCAGATTTTTTCTATTTTTACCATGAAATCTTCATTTAATCAGAACCAGTCTTTTGGATCTGACATAACAGGTTTATATTTACCAATACCATATGTTGGTGTAGAGTAAATCATGCGTGTAGTAGAAAAACAACATTAAAAAGAAATTAGTGCAGGTGCAAAAATAAGTGAACCCCAAGTTGCATTGGTTAAATCAAGTAGGTAAGTAGAATCAGGTGGGTAAATAATTAGCTACCAAATGAACCAATCAAAGGAGAGATCGGTAGGAAAGAGTTTGGGCGGGACTCTGATAAAAAATTGAGATAAGAAACCTGGTCAGTTTGGTGTTACTCATCCAGGTGAATGCAAAGCACACCATGCCGAGAGGAAAGGAGATCTCAGAGGACATCAGGACGAGGGTAGTGAGAGCGCTTCAGTCTGGGGAAGGCTATAAAATCATCTCAAAAAGATTTGACCTCCATCAGTCCACTGTGAGGCAAATAATTCACAAATGGAGAGCATTTAACATGACAGCAACTAGGCCTAGAAGTGGACGCCCTTCCAAAATATCCCCAAGAGCCACAAGAACAATAATAAATCAGGTAAAAGCCAACCCAAATATAACATCTAGAGATTTGCAGACCTCCCCTTGCTGCATCTCAGGTAACTGTGCATGCTTCAACAATAAGAAGAACACTGATTCAAAATGCCATTAATGGAAGGGTTGCTAGGAAGAAGCCTCTGCTGTCATAATGGAAGGGTTGCTAGGAAGAAGCCTCTGCTGTCATAATGGAAGGGTTGCTAGGAAGAAGCCTCTGCTGTCATAATGGAAGGGTTGCTAGGAAGAAGCCTCTGCTGTCATAATGGAAGGGTTGCTAGGAAGAAGCCTCTGCTGTCATAATGGAAGGGTTGCTAGGAAGAAGCCTCTGCTGTCATAATGGAAGGGTTGCTAGGAAGAAGCCTCTGCTGTCATAATGGGAGGGTTGCTAGGAAGAAGCCGCTGCTGTCAAAAAAGAACCAAACTGGCCGTCTTAACTTGGCCAGAGACCACCTGGACAAACCTGAAGGTTTCTGGAAGTCCATTCTCTGGACCGAGGAGTTCAAAATTGACCTTTTTGGTCACAAGGAACACCGCTATGTTTGGCAAAAAACCCAACACTGCCTACCACCAAAATAACCTTATCCCAACAGTCAAGCATGGTGGTGGGAATATGAAGATCTGGGGGCTGCTTTTCCTCCTCTGGACCTGGACGACTCCACATCATTAAAGGAACCATGAATTCTGAGGTATACCAGGAGATTCTTGAACAGAACATCAGGCCATCAGCTGAAAAATGGGTCTTCCAACAAGACAACGACCCAAAGCATTCAAGCAAATCTACCAAAGAATGGCTCAGGAGAAAGAAGATTTGTGTTTTTGGATTGGCCAAGTCAAAGTCCTGACCTAAATCTAATCGAGATGCTGTGACCTGAAGCTCTGTCATTGCCGCTCTGTTATTGCTTGTCCATATATGTATATATTCTTAAATTCCATTCCTTACTAGATTTGTGTGTATTGGGTATATGTTGTGAAATTGTTAGATATTACTTGTTAGATATTACTGCACTGTCGGAGCTAGAAGCACAAGCATTTCGCTACACCCGCAATAACATCTGCTAAACACGTGTATGTGACAAATAAAATGTGATTTGATTTGAAGCGGGCATTCATGCCAGACACCCCTCAAACCTCACTCAATTGGCTGAGTTCTGTAAGGGGGAGTTGGCAAAAATCCCTCAAAACAGATGTCAGAGACTGATTGCTGGCTATAGGAAACGTTTAGTCCAAGTCATCGCTGCTAATGGAGGTGCCACAAGCTATTGACTGAAAGGGGGTCACATATTTTTGCACACATCAAATCAGAGTTTCTGTTAAATAAAAAATGAAAATATATATAATATTTTTTTTGTTTTCTGTCATTTACGTGGAATGTCTTCATTACGAATTGGGGTTTAGATAAGGATTTTATATGTTTTATTTTAATATTTTATAGTAAAATAATGACCAGCCCTGTAGGGTTCACATACTTTCAAGCAGCACTGTATGTACTGTGTACAGGTGTATGTACTGTGTACAGGTGTATGTACTGTGTACAGGTGTATGTACTGTGTACAGGTGTATGTACTGTGTACAGGTGTATGTACTGTGTACAGGTGTATGTATTGTGTACAGGTGTATGTACTGTGTACAGGTGTACCTGTATGTCACACCAATCTATCTCTCTCTCTCTCTCTCTCTGTCAGACAGCGGACCAGCCCTACCAGGAGGCCTTTACTGATGAGCTGGAGTCATTTAAGGAGAGAGTTCGAGGCAGAGCTAAGATCAGGATACAAAAGGTCATTTTCCCTCAAGAAAAATTGTTTCTTGCTTCAGCTGTTTTAAAAGTATTTTTATGGTAGTGGGAGAAGTTCAAAGGGATATTTTACTCCAAAAACATTCAGACGTTCACATTTTTCTGGGACTGTATCATAACTGTAGACTGATGAACAGAATACTAAAATATATATATGTTTTGTAAAATACGAGGCATTGGTGAGGTTCTAAATAAATACATGAATATGAAATGATTTGTTAAAGGCTATGGAGGAGTATGAGGAGGAGGAGAGACAGAACCGACTAGGACCTGGTGGACTGGACCCTGTGGAATCACAGACTCTGCAGATGGTTAACACACACATCATCAAACAGAGAGAAGAGAGAGACGAACCGAGTAGACTGGACTGGACCTGTGGAAGTTACCAACTCTGCAGAGGTACACCTAGAGAGAGGAGAGACGACGACTAGGACCTGTGACTGGACCTGGAAGTCTACCACACTCGCCAGAGTACACACACAGAGAGAGGGAGAGACACAGTCAGCAACCTATGGCCACATATTCAGAGGAAGTGGTCGCCAACCCCAGTCTCCTTTTTTGACCTCTGACATGTGATGTCACATCCTGTTTCACAGGAAATGAAGAAGTGTTTTGATGATAAAGACATCTCAATGCTGCAGGAAGCTATCAGCAAGATGGACCCCATGGTGAGTGTCTCCTGTCTCTCTCTTTCTCTCCTCCCTTTCTCTCCTCCTTTCTCTCTCCTAATGTTCTCTCTCTCCCCCTCTCTTTCTCTCTCCTAATGTTATCTTTCTCTCTCCTAACATTCTCTCTCTCCACCTCTCTCGCTCCCTCTCTTTTTCCTCACTCTCTCTGACCTGTGTGTGTGTGTGTGTGTGTGTGTGTGTGTGTGTGTTGTGGTTTCTCAGGAGGCAAAGGTCCACATAAAGAGGTGCATTGACTCGGGACTCTGGGTTCCCAACGCCAATACCGACAACGAAGATGCAGAGAATGAGGAAGAGGAAAAGGAGGACAAAGAAGATGAGGAAGAGCCAGAGAAGGAGGAGAAATGACTGTCATAAATTGAACTTACCCTTCCCTTAGACTTTTGACCTTTTCAGACCTAGCTACTCCCTTTACTAGCATTAGCTTGTCCTATTGAAAACATACTGTGAAGATGCTAACTTCCCTAGCGTTAAATGGACTAGTATTGCTAGCATTAGCCTGACCCATTGAAAACCTGCTCCGGGCCAGTATTTACAAAGCGTCTCAGAGTGGGACTGCTGATCTTGGATCTGTTTTTTCTTTTTTCTAATCATCATGAACAAAATCATATGTACAAGGGGACCTCATCCTAGATCATCACTCCTATTCTGAGACGCTTTTTGAATATGTGCCTGGGGTGAAGTTTCCCCCTAGGTATAGATCTAGGATCCGCTTCCCCTCCCACAATCCTGACGTTAACCATTTGGGGGAAAATGCTAAACTTCATCCAAACGTCACCCTGCTGTCTCTTCTACCCATAGTCCCATCTTTATATTTACCCCCCCCCCACCTCACTTCTGGTTTAATAGCACATCATCTGTTTTGATTTTGTTATTGATCATTTTTGGTTTTGTATTATAGATGTCGTTCCACCCTTTCTAGTCACCTAGAACTCAGACCAGTCTTCTGAACTGTTACCTAGAACTCAGACCAGTCTTCTGAACTGTTACCTAGAACTTAGAACTGCTACCCAACAGAAACCCATTCAGAACTGCTCAACCCTGGTTTTAAACCCTCCACCTAATCCTACCTCCATCCCCTTTGAACCAAACTCTCTCGCTCTGTCAGGCCTCTCTTTGTCTCTCAGCATGGGTCAAACCACTTTAAACCAGATGAAACCGGTTCAAACCGGAGCAATCCTGATCACAGCTCCTCGCTGCAGCTGGGACAGACCGGGTGTGGTCTGTCAGTTGACTCCGCCCCTTTCCTTATTACAGTTGTCTATTGCTTAGTAAAGTTGACATGCAAAAACAATTGTTCTTGTGATATTTTTCTCTTTGTATGTTCTCTTTTGATTTCTCTTTTTCCCTGTTCTTTTTTCTGGCTGGCTGGCTGTCTGCCTGTCTGTCTCTCTGTCTGTCTGTCTGTCTGTCTGTCTCTGTGTCTCTTTGTCTGTCTGTCTGTGTCTCGATGAACATGGTGAAAATATAACCTCTAAATGGTCCTTGTATTGTTTCATCAATGCCATTGGATACTAAAGCAATAAGGCCCTTAGACGTGGTATATTGGCCATATACCACAAACCCCAGAGGTGCCTTATTACTATTATAAACTGGTTACCAAGATAATTAGAGCAGTAAAAATACATGTTATGTCATACCCATGGTATACGGTCTGCTATACCACGGCTGTCAGCCAATCAGCATTCAGGGCTCGAACCACCCAGTTTATAATGCCAGATACCTGCTATGTGTTGACATCACTCTCCCAGTGTATCAGCCAATCAGAAACCAGACTTTGATACAGTAAAAAGATGACATCATCCGTTCCCTTTATGATTTATGCAATGGCAATTACTGGTAAGCAGTTGTTTTGAGGCTGACCAATATATTGTGAAAACATGTTGTACTGGCCAATACAACATGCATACTTTCAATGGTAAAGACAATAGATAATATTACAACCTGACAGTGTAAACACACTCATGAAATTACCACTGATAAGAAAAAAAAGGGAGAGTAACTTTCTAGAGGAAATCTGAGGAAATAATTTCCTCAAAGAGGAAATGACTGGTAGGCAACCAGCAGGTACTGTAGAGTGGAGAGGAACAGAGTTGAACTACTCTGTAGAGAGTGAGGGACAATATACTGTAGGAATGTACCTATGTAACAGATGTCCATCCAGTGATAACCAGCAAGACTGGTCTCAGCGCCAGTGGAACAGATGTCCAGAAGACTGGTCTCAGCGCCAGTGGAACAGACGTCCAGAAGACTGGTCTCAGCGCCAGTGGAACAGATGTCCAGAAACTGGTCTCAGCGCCAGTGGAACAGATGTCCAGAAGACTGGTCTCAGCGCCAGTGGAACAGATGTCCAGAAGACTGGTCTCAGCGCCAGTGGAACAGATGTCCAGAAGACTGGTCTCAGCGCCAGTGGAACAGATGTCCAGAAGACTGGTCTCAGCGCCAGTGGAACAGATGTCCAGAAGACTGGTCTCAGCGCCAGTGGAACAGATGTCCAGAAGACTGGTCTCAGCGCCAGTGGAACGATGTCCAGAAGACTGGTTCAGCGCCAGTGGAACAGATGTCCAGAAGACTGGTCTCAGCGCCAGTGGAACAGATGTCCAGAAGACTGGTCTCAGCGCCAGTGGAACAGATGTCCAGAAGACTGGTCTCAGCGCCAGTGGAACAGATGTCCAGAAGACTGGTCTCAGCGCCAGTGGAACAGATGTCCAGAAGACTGGTCTCAGCGCCAGTGGAACAGACGTGATCGTACTTCGTAATTCTCTTGCGTTTTGTTTTTAGATAAATAATTCTGATAATAGCCACAAGAAAGCGCAGGACAACAGTATGTTGATGGCTGTAGATTTGTGATTCGTCTGTTGGCATGGAAATAACTGTATTAGCAGGGAGCTAATGTGACCATTACAATTAGAGCATGCTAGCTAACTCGCGCTTACAGCAATAACATATAAAAGCACAGACCAGGATGCCCCCAATATCTACCAGGTACACATATATATATATATACAAACACCAGGACATGTACATAGTGAACTCATACACATTGTAAATATGACAATAGAATACAGTATTTCAGAACGTGACCTACCGCTTGCATGCCAATACCAGACTGGGACGAAGTTACGTTTGCGATCTCCCCCTATCTGCAAGCATGACTAATGGCATAACACCTAATTGATATGTAAATTCAACCAACCAATAAGAATGCATAAAATATAGAATACATATTTCTGCAGTGTCAAATGGAAACATAACCAATCCTGTTACACATGTTACCTTACTGGGGGAATACTGTGGGAGTAGAGTGAGAGCAGGGGTGTAATTATTAGTCCAAAACGTTTACTCCTAACGGAAAACATTTTGCAACGGAAACGAGAGTTTCTATTGGACAAATTCCGGTAGGTCCTACCCCGTTTCGTTCCGTTTGGTTCTGTTGAGTTCCTAGTGAGTACACCCCAGATCTATATCACTGATCAGATGTTGACATGCCTCATCCATACAGGAAGCACAAAGCACCACGTCAGAAATAGCTGAGTGGAGCTGTTCATTCATTCCTCAAAGAGGGCTGAATGGAGCTGTTCATTCATTCATTCCTCAAAGAGAGCTGGGTGGAGCTGTTCATTCATTCATTCATTCCTCTGAGCAGTCATGTGAATGGAGGGTTCCTTTCAGGAAGTGAGTGAGGGGGAGGGAGGTGTGTGTGTGTATATATATATATATATATATATACTGAACAAAAATATAAATGCAAAATGTAAAGTGTTGGTCCCATGTTTCATGAGCTGAAATAAAAGATCCCCAAAAAATTCCATAAGCACAAAAAGCTTATTTCTCTAAAATGTTGTGCACAAATTTGTTTACATCCCTGTTAGTGAGCATTTCTCCTTTGCCAAGATAATCCATCCACTTGACAGGTGTGGCATATCAAGAAGCAGATTAAACTGCATGATCATTACACAGGTGCACCTTGTGCTGGGACAATAAAAGGCCACTCTAAAATGTGCAGTTTTGTCACAACACAATGCCACAGTTGTCTCAAGTTTTGAGGGAGTGTGCAATTGGCATGCTGACTGCAGGAATGTCCACCAGAGCTGTTGCCAGAGAATTTAATGTTAATTTCTCTACCATGAGCCGCCTCCAACGTCGTTTTAGAGAATTTGGCAGTACTTCCAACCGGCCTCACAACCACAGACCATGTGTAACCGCGCCAGCCCAGGACCACATCCGGCTTCTTCACCTGCCGGATCGTCTGAGACCAGCTACCCAGACAGCTGATGTTACTGTGGGTTTGTCAGAAACCGTCTCAGGGAAGCTCATCTGCGTGCTCGTCATCCTTATCAGGGTCTTGACCTGACTGAAGTTCGGCGTCGTAACCAACTTTAGCGGGCAAATGCTCACCTTCGATGGCCACTGGCACACTGGAGAACTGTGCTCTTCACGGATGAATCCCAGTTTCAACTGTACCGGGCAGATGGCAGACAGCATGAATGGCGTCGTGTGGGTGAGCGGTTTTCTGATGTCAACGTTGTGAACAGGGTGCCCCATGGTAGCGGTGGGGTTATGATATGGGCAGACGTAAGCTATGGACAATGAACACCATTTTATTTTATCGATGGCAATTTGAATGCACAACCCCCCGTGACGAGATCCTGAGGCCCATTGTCTTGCCATTCATCAGCCACCATCACCTCATGTTTCAGCATGATTATGCACGGCCCCATGTCGCAAGGATCTGTACACAATTGCTGGAAGCTGAAAATGTCCCAGTTCTTACATGGCCTGCATACTCACCAGACATGTCACCCATTGAGCATGTTTGGGATGCTCTGGATTGACATGTACGACAGCATGTTCCCGCCAATATCCAGCAACTTCGCACAGAGGAGTGGGAGTGAGACAACATTCCACAGGCCACAATCAACAGCCTGATCAACTCTATGCGAAGGAGATGTGTCGCGCTGCATGAGGCCAATGGTGGTCACACCAGATACTGACTGTTTTTCTGGTTTAGATTAGGGCCTAATTTATTTATTTCAATTGACTGATTTCCTTATTATTGTTGCATGTTGCGTTTATATATTTTTGTTCGTTCAGTGTAGTATGTCTGCCCACTCTGTATGTATGAGAGAGAAAGAGACTAAGCTGTGTGAGAGCGAGTGAGACTGAGTGTGTGAGAGTGAGTGTGTGTGTGTGTGTGTGTGTGTGTGTGAGAGAGTGTGTGTGACAAGGGGCTGGTTTGGGTTGAGCTTTTCCTCTCCCCATCCAACTAGGCAGTACTGCATTGAGCTCAAGTGTGTGTGTGTGTGTGTGTGTGTGTGTGTGTGTGTGGTGGATGACTATAAGAACATCTGGGAGGAATAGGGAAGGGGTGGGATGCATCTTATCAGGGGAGTGTGGGGGGGGGGATCTGTGTTGTGTAGGGGGAGGGAGGGAGGCTGGGGGGGGGGGGGGGGGGGGTTGGGGGAGACCACTAGAAAGAGGGAGGGGTAGAGAAGGGGGGAAATGAGGGGGAGGGGAGCTACTGGAGCTGCGGGTATTATTCATGAGTCTGACAGGCGTTCTCTTTCTTCACTGTGACACACTGGTACTCTGCAGAGAGAGAAAGAGAGAGAGAGAGAGGGAGAGAGATATAGAGCAAGGGAGAGAGAGAGCTAGAGAGAGGAGAGAGTAGAGGGACGAGAGATAGAGAAGAGGAAGACGGAGAGATAGAGAGAGAGAGGCGAGAGAGATAGAAGAGAGAGTGGGTGGTGAGAGTAGAGAGGAAGACGGAGAGATATAGAGCGCGAGAGAGAGAGAGCGGGAGAGAAAGAGATATAGAGCAAGGGAGAAGGAGAGAGAGACAAGGAGGGAAACAGAGACAGAGAGTGGAGGCTGAGCGCATCTCTCCATTGATCTTGAACCGATCAAGGTGAGTGTTTTTTTTTTCCTCCCACAACCCTGCAGTGTCTGTGTGTGTGACAGACGTCGTTAGCAACGTGTGTGTAGAATGACATGTGACGTTAACAGGGTAGACCATATGTAATCAACATGCCAGTCGTGTGTGTATGTGTGTCTATTACATTTAGATATTTGAGTCATTTAGCAGACGCTCTTATCCAGAGCGACTTACAGGTAGTGAGTGCATACATTTTCATACTGCCCCCCCCGTCTATGTTGTGTGTCTATGGTGTGGGTATAATAATAGCAGAATGGATGGAGGCTACATGGTGATGCTGTATTGTGGAGGCTAGCTAGCTACATGGTGATGCTGTATTGTGGAGGCTAGCTAGCTACATGGTGATGCTGTATTGTGGAGGCTTGCTAACTACATGGTGATGCTGTATTGTGGAGGCTAGCTAGCTACATGGTGATGCTGTATTGTGGAGGCTAGCTAGCTACATGGTGATGCTGTATTGTGGAGGCTAGCTAGCTACATGGTGATGCTGTATTGTGGAGGCTAGCTAGCTACATGGTGATGCTGTATTGTGGAGGCTTGCTAACTACATGGTGATGCTGTATTGTGGAGGCTAGCTAGCTACATGGTGATGCTGTATTGTGGAGGCTAGATAGCTACATGGTGATGCTGTATTGTGGAGGCTAGCTAGCTACATGGTGATGCTGTATTGTGGAGGCTAGCTAGCTACATGGTGATGCTGTATTGTGGAGGCTAGCTAGCTACATGGTGATGCTGTATTGTGGAGGCTAGCTAGCTACATGGTGATGCTGTATTGTGGAGGCTAGTCTAGCTACATGTGATGCTGTATTGTGGGGGCTAGCTTAGCTACATGGTGATGCTGTATTGTGGAGGCACTCTAACTACATGGTGATGCTGTATTGTGGGAGCTAGCTAGCTACATGGTGATGCTGTATTGTGGAGGCTAGCTAGCTACATGGTGATGCTGTATTGTGGAGGCTAGCTAGCTACATGGTGATGCTGTATTGTGGAGCTAGCTAACTACAATGGTGATGCTGTATTGTGGAGGCTAGCTAGCTACAATGGTGATGCTGTATTGTGGAGGCTAGCTAGCTAAATGGGTGATGCTGTATTGTGGAGGCTAGCTAGCTACATGGTGATGCTGTATTGTGGAGGCTAGCTGGCTACATGGTTATGCTGTATTGTGGAGGCAGCTAGCTACATGGTGATGCTGTATTGGTGAGGCACTCTAACTACATGGTGATGCTGTATTGTGGAGGCTAGCTAGCTACATGGTGATGCTGTATTGTGGAGGCTAGCTAGCTAAATGGTGATGCTGTATTGTGGAGGCTAGCTAGCTACATGGTGATGCTGTATTGTGGAGGCTAGCTAGCTACATGGTGATGCTGTATTGTGGAGGCTAGCTAGCTACATGGTGATGCTGTATTGTGGAGGCTAGCTAACTACATGGTGATGCTGTATTGTGGAGGCTAGCTAGCTACATGGTGATGCTGTATTGTGGAGGCACTCTAACTACATGGTGATGCTGTATTGTGGAGGCTAGCTAGCTACATGGTGATGCTGTATTGTGGAGGCTAGGTAGCTACATGGTGATGCTGTATTGTGGAGGCTAGCTAACTACATGGTGATGCTGTATTGTGGAGGCTAGCTAGCTACATGGTGATGCTGTATTGTGGAGGCTAGCTAGCTACATGGTGATGCTGTATTGTGGAGGCTTGCTAGCTACAGGGTGATGCTGTATTGTGGAGGCTTGCTAGCTACATGGTGATGCTGTATTGTGGAGGCTTGCTAGCTACATGGCGATGCTATATTGGGTATAGTTAGCTGCCTCAGGATGGTGTGGGCGTGTCCCTGCCTGCGTTCTCTGGATTCATGTCATTGTGTCTGTGTGTCAAGTTGTTTGGTGTGTGTCTGTGTGTCTGGTTGCGTGATTCTGTGTCATCTGTGTGTGTGTGTGTCAGTCTGTGTGTGTGTGTGTGTGTGTGTGTGTGTGTGTGTGTGTGTGTGTGTGTGTGTGTGTGTGTGTGTGTGTGTTTTCTGATGAGAAGACTGAGATGTCTTATGTTACATGCTCTTTGAAGAGGTTAAGGTTTCAGATGTTTTTGGAAGATGGGCAGGGACTCCGCTATCCTGATGTTAGGGAGAAGCTTGTTCCGCCATTGGGGTGCCAGGACACAGAAGAGCTTTGACTGGGCTGAGTGGGAGCTGCCCTCCCGTAGGCGAGGGAGGACCAAGAGACCAGGGGTGGTAGAACGGAGTGCTCGGGTTGGGGTGTAGGGTTTGGCCATAGCCTGAAGGTAGGGCATCCATAGCAGTGGAGGCTGCTGAGGGTAGGACGGCTCATAATAATGGCTGGAATGGAAACCATGTGATTGAGGTATTTGATACCGTTCCACTTATTCCGCTCTAGCCATTACCACAAGCCCGTCCTCCCCAATGAAGGTGCCACCAACCGCCTGTGATCCGTAGCGTTAACAGTAGTTTAGTATGAGTCCTGGTCAGAAGGAGTACTCTAGCATCCTGGTCAAAAGTAGTGCACTATATAGGTTATAATTTGGGATGCAAACTATGTTTTTAATATTTCTGTTTTTACCAATGTCATGCTCTGCTCTCTATCTACTGTGTTCCTCTTCTTCCAGGACACTGACCTGTTGTCTGATACACCGGCCAATCAAAACCAGGGTTACAGTGGCAGTCATGTCAGGGATGCACCGTTCAACCAATCAGAGCTGGGATTCTACAAATGTTGGTGTTCCGTTGCACAGATGAACCAATCACACGCAGGCGTCGCGCTTCGCATCCCACAGAACCTACGGAACCCGAATCCAACGAACCAATCAGATACAGGATTGCTGGTTCCAGAACAAATCCGGAGGATGGCGAGGGTTCATCGCTGTTTCCAAGCAACCAATCGGATTGCGGATTACTAACCTCACCACCTCACTGGATTACACATTTGGGGATTTTAGAGGAACCAGGATTCCAGCCAATTGGAGCTTGAGGAGGACTGAGGCGTCGGGCGTGGTGATTGGCTGCTGAGTCCGATGGGGGCGTGACCCTTGGTTGTGGCCCGGTCTGACCCTGGCTGGTCTGACCCCTAACCTCTAACCCCTGACCTGTAACCCCTGACCCCTCTGGTCCTGGCTCTCCAGCTGCTGTGCTGCTTGGGTTCTGGTCCCGTCCGCTCCGGGGGAGGGGCCAAAAAGAACAATCAGCCAATCACTATGAAGAAGAGCCGCAGTGTGCAGCGTCTGTCACTGGCCGGAGAGGAGGAGGTAACACACACACAGGGACACACACAGGGACACACACAGGGACACACACACAGGACACACACAGGGACACACACAGGGACACACACAGGGACACACACAGGACACACACAGGCAGGGACACCAGGGACACACACAGGGACACAGACCACACAGGGACACACACAGGGACACACACAGGGACACACACACAGGGACACACACAGGGACACACACAGGGACACACACAGGGACACACACAGGGACACACACAGGGACACACAACAGGGACACACACAGGGACACACACACAGGGACACACACAGGGACACACACAGGGACACACACACAGGGACACACACAGGGACACACACAGGGACACACACAGGGACACACACAGGGACACACACAGGGACCACACAGGGACACACACAGGGACACACACAGGGACACACGGACACAGGGACACACACAGGGACACACACAGGGACACAACACAGGGACACACACAGGGACACACACAGGGACACACACAGGGACACAGGGACACACACAGGGACACAGGGACACACACAGGGACACACAGGGACACACACAGGGACACCACAGGGACACACACAGGGACACACACAGGGACACAGGGACACACACAGGGACACAGGGACACACACAGGGACACACACACAAACAAACAAAGACGTATGTAGGGTAAACACACAGCATTGAGATCTATTGACTGGGGTGTCCCTGGACTACAGTCTAAGGAGTCTCTCTTCCTAATGGATGGTTTCCCTTCCGTCCACTGATCTCAAGGCTGCAGTCTGTGATAGTAGAAAGTGTGTTCTGTGTAGCCTCTACAATAACAACAGTGAAGCATCTCTTCACATCTGTAGGTCTGGACAACTAGAGACGTAGCATGGAACATGGAACACTGTTGCCTAGCAACTAGCAGCCTGCCTTCCATTCCCCCAGTGTTCTGTTGCTACGCTGCTGCAGTGCAGATCACACTCTCTCTGTAGAGGGATTATACACAACACATACACACACACAGATATGGGGTGCCATAGACCAGCATACAGCCTCTCTAAATCTCTATTGAGTGAGCTCACATAATAACATTACCCTCAATGCTTCCTGTCATTCACATAACATTACATTATATGCTTCCTGTCATTCACATAACATTACATTCTATGCTTCCTTGCTTGCTACAGTGAGGGAAAAAAGTATTTGATCCCTGCTGATTTTGTACGTTTGCCCACTGACAAAGGAATGATTAGTCTATAATTTTAATGGTAGGTTTATTTGAACAGTGAGAGACAGAATAACAACAACAAAAATCCAGAAAAACGCATGTCAAAAATGTTATAAATTGATTTGCATTTTTTATGAGGGAAATAAATATTTGACACCCTCTCAATCAGAAAGATTTCTGGCTCCCAGGTGTCTTTTATACAGGTAACGAGCTGAGATTAGGAGCACACTCTTAAAGGGAGTGCTCCTAATTTCAGCTTGTTACCTGTATAAAAGACACCTGTCCACAGAAGCAATCAATCAATCAGATTCTAAACTCTCCACCATGGCCAAGACCAAAGAGCTCTCCTAGGATGTCAGGGACAAGATTGTAGACCTACACAAGGCTGGAATGGGCTACAAGACCATTGCCAAGCAGCTTGGTGAGAAGGTGACAACAGTTGGTGCGATTATTCGCAAATGAAAGAAACACAAAATAACTGTCAATCTCCCTCGGCCTGGGGCTCCATGCAAGATATCACCTCGTGGGGTTGCAATGATCATGAGAACAGTGAGGAATCAGCCCAGAACTACACGGGAGGATCTTGTCAATGATCTCAAGGCAGCTGGGACCATAGTCACCAAGAAAACAATTGGTAACACACTACGCCGTGAAGGACTGAAATCCTGCAGCGCCCGCAAGGTCCCCCTGCTCAAGAAAGCACATATACAGGCCCGTCTGAAGTTTGCCAATGAACATCTGAATGATTCAGAGGAGAACTGGGTGAAAGTTTTGTGGTCAGATGAGACCAAAATCGAGCTCTTTGGCATCAACTCAACTCGCCGTGTTTGGAGGAGGAGGAATGCTGCCTATAACCCCAAGAACACCATCCCCACCGTCAAACATGGAGGTGGAAACATTATGCTTTGGGGGTGTTTTTCTGCTAAGGGGACAGCACAACTTCACCGCATCAAAGGGACGATGGACCGGGCCATGTACCGTCAAATCTTGGGTGAGAACCTCCTTCCCTCAGCCAGGGCATTGAAAATGGGTCGTGGATGGGTATTCCAGCATGACAATGACCCAAAACACATGGCCAAGGCAACAAAGGAGTGGCTTAAGAAGAAGCACATTAAGGTCCTGGAGTGGCCTAGCCAGTCTCCAGACCTTAATCCCATAGAAAATCTGTAGAGGGAGCTGAAGGTTCGAGTTGCCAAACGTCAGGCTCGAAACCTTAATGACTTGGAGAAGATCTGCAAAGAGGAGTGGGACAAAATCCCTCCTGAGATGTGTGCAAACCTGGTGGCCAACTACAAGAAACGTCTGACCTCTGTGATTGCCAACAAGGGTTTTGCCACCAAGTACTAAGTCATGTTTTGCAGAGGGGTCAAATAGTTATTTCCCTCATTAAAATGCAAATCAATTCATAATATTTTTTACATGCGTTTCTCTGGATTTTTTTGTTTGTTATTCTGTCTCTCACTGTTCAAATAAACCTACCATTAAAATTATAGACTGATCATGTCTTTGTCAGTGGGAAAACATACAAAATCAGCAGGGGATCAAATACTTTTTTCCCTCACTGTAACATTACATTCTATGCTTCCTGTCATTCACATAACATTACATTCTATGCTTCCTGTCATTCACATAACATTACATTCTATGCTTCCTGTCATTCACATAACATTACATTCTATGCTTCCTGTCATTCACATAACATTACATTCTATGCTTCCTGTCATTCACATAACATTACATTCTATGTTTCCTGTCATTCACATAACATTACATTCTATGCTTCCTGTCATTCACATAACATTACATTCTATGTTTCCTGTCATTCACATAACATTACATTCTATGTTTCCTGTCATTCGGGGGGATGTAGCTCAGTTGGTAGAGCATGGCGCTTGCAACGCCAGGGTTGTGGGTTCGTTTCCCACGGGGGGCCAGTAGGAAAATGTATGCACTCACTAACTGTAAGTTGCTCTGGATAAGAGCGTCTGCTAAATGACTAAAATGTACATTCATTAACATTACCCTCTATGCTTCCTGTCATTCACATAACATTACCCTCTATGCTTCCTGTCATTCACATAACATTACCCTCTTTGCTTCCTGTCATTCACATAACATTACCCTCTATGCTTCCTGTCATTCAGTAACATTACCCTATATGCGTCCTGTCATTCAGTAACATTACCCTCTATGCTTCCTGTCATTCAGTAACATTACCCTCTATGCTTCCTGTCATTCAGTAATATTACCCTCTATGCTTCCTGTCATTCAGTAACATTACCCTCTGCTTCCTGTCATTCAGTAATATTACCCTCTATGCTTCCTGTCATTCAGTAATATTACCCTCTATGCTTCCTGTCATTCAGTAATATTACCCTCTATGCTTCCTGTCATTCAGTAATATTACCCTCTATGCTTCCTGTCATTCAGTAATATTACCCTCTATGCTTCCTGTCATTCAGTAACATTACCCTCTATGCTTCCTGTCATTCACATAACATTACCCTCTATGCTTCCTGTCATTCAGTAATATTACCCTCTATGCTTCCTGTCATTCAGTAACATTACCCTCTATGCTTCCTGTCATTCACATAACATTACCCTCTATGCTTCCTGTCATTCAGTAATATTACCCTCTATGCTTCCTGTCATTCACATAACATTACCCTCTATGCTTCCTGTCATTCAGTAACATTACCCTCTATGCTTCCTGTCATTCACATAACATTACCCTCTATGCTTCCTGTCATTCAGTAATATTACCTTTTATGCTTCCTGTCATTCAGTAATATTACCCTCTATGCTTCCTGTCATTCACATAACATTACCCTCTATGCTTCCTGTCAGTCAGTAAATTGACTTCTGGATGTGTGCCACCCTATGGCCAAATATGGTGAAGAACTGTGAAGAATATATACAGTTGAAGTCGGAAGTTTACATACACTTAGGTTGGAGTCATTAAAACGTTCTTGTTAACAAACTATAGTTTTGGCAAGTCAGTTAGGACATCTACTTTGTGCATGACACAAGTAATTTTTCCAACAATTGTTTACAGACAGATTATTTCACATATAATTCACTGTATCACAATTCCAGTGGGTCAGAAGTTTACATACACTAAGTTGACTGTGCCTTTAAACAGCTTGGAAAATTCCAGAAAACGATGTCATGGCTTTAGAAGCTTCTGATAGGCATCATTTGAGTCAATTGGAGGTGTACCTGTGGATGTATTTCAAGGCCTACCTTCAAACTCAGTGCCTCTTTACTTGACATCATGGGAAAATCAAAAGAAATCAGCCAAGTCTGGTTCATCCTTGGGAGCAATTTACAAACGCCTGAAGGTACCACGTTCATCTGTACAAACAATAGTACGCAAGTATAAACACCATGGGACCACACAGCCATCATACCACTCAGGAAGGAGACGCGTTCTGTCTCCTAGAGATGATCTTACTTTGGTGCGAAAAGTGCAAATCAATCCCAGAACAACAGCAAAGGACCTTGTGAAGATGCTGGAGGAAACAGGTATAAAAGTATCTATATCCACAGTAAAACGAGTCCTATATCGACATAACCTGAAAGGCCGCTCAGCAAGGAAGAAGCCACTGCTCCAAAACCACCATAGAAAAGCCAGACTACGGTTTTCAACTGCACATGGGGACAAAGATCGTACTTTTTGGAGAAATGTCCTCTGGTCTGATGAAACAAAAATAGAACTGTCTGGCCATAATGACCATCGTTATGTTTGGAGGAAAAAGGGGGTAGCTTGCAAGCCGAAGAACACCATCCCAACCGTGAAGCACGGGGTTGGCAGCATCATGCTGTGGGGGTGCTTTGCTGCAGGAGGGACTGGTGCACTTCACAAAATAGATGGCATCATGAGGAAGGAAAATTATGTGGATATATTGAAGCAACATCTCAAGACATCAGTCAGGAAGTTTAAAGCTTGGTCGCAAATGGGTCTTCCAAATGGACAATGACCCCAAGCATACTTCCAAAGTTGTGGCAAAATGGCTTAAGGACAACAAAGTCAAGGTATTGGTGTGGCCATCACAAAGCCCTGACCTCAATCCTATTTGTGGGCAGAACTGAAAAGCGTGTGCGAGCAAGGAGGCCTACAAACCTGACTCAGTTACACCAGCTCTGTCAGGAGGAATGGGCCAAAATTCACCCAACTTATTGTGGGAAGCTTGTGGAAGGCTACCTGAAACGTTTGACCCAAGTTAAACAATTTAAAGGCAATGCTACCAAATACTAATTGAGTGTATGTAAACTTCTGACCCACTGGGAATGTGATGAAAGAAATAAAAGCTGAAATAAATCATTCTCTCTACTATTATTCTGACATTTCACATTCTTAAAATATAGTGGTGATCCTAACTGACCTAAGACAGGGAATTTTTACTAGGATTAAATGTCAGGAATTGTGAAAAACTGAGTTTAAATGTATTTGGCTAAGGTGTATGTAAACTTCCGACTTCAACTGTACAGTAATATTTCATATCTCATCTTCTTTCTCTCTATCTCTATCCCCATCCCTCTCTTTCTTTCCCCAGGATAATGACACTGATTCGTCAGACTGTGCTGAGAAGGCGGAACCAGGGCTCTACAGCAGCTCCTATACGTCAGGAGCCACTCTGGGGGCGGAGCTACGCATGGGGAGGAGCAGGAGGCTGGCCTCCAGTTTGCAGGTAACAGTAGAAAGAAAACGATATTGTTTTTACAGCAGAAACTTTGTGTGCTTTGGATTTCATCAGCAGTGCTATACACAATCAAGTTGTACAACGCACAACAGTTACTTGTGATTCAACCGAGAGTTTTCTGCACAAAGATAATTGCACAAGTGTTTTGGAGACATGGCACAATAGTGGTGTGAACATTTTTGTGCTGACCAACTTTTTCCAATATATTACAAAAATATCAGTTGTAGCACAACCACTGTGTCAAATGCCAGTGTGCCATAGAGAGAGTTTGGTTATTGTGGTTCCTGTCAGGCTAATATTGCACAAGAGACTTACCTGGTTTAATAAAATCAATTCTATTGGTTACCTGGTTAATCAATCAATCCTATCGTCCATTCAGGTTCCGTGTTGGCTCCGCCCCCGAGACAGGACACGGTCACCTGAGATCCTGAGTAACATGCCACGCCCCACGTCCCTGCCCCTCTGCATTCCACCACGCATAGCCATCACACCTGCAGACGCAGACAGGTAACACACACCACCATCCAGACGCAGACAGGTAACACACACCACCATCCAGACGCAGACAGGTAACACACACCACCATCCAGACGCAGACAGGTAACACACACCACCATCCAGACGCAGACAGGTAACACACACCACCATCCAGACGCAGACAGGTAACACACACCACCATCCAGACGCAGACAGGTAACACACACCACCATCCAGACGCAGACAGGTAACACACACCACCATCCAGACGCAGACAGGTAACACACACCACCATCCAGACGCAGACAGGTAACACACACCACCATCCAGACGCAGACAGGTAACACACACCACCATCCAGACGCAGACAGGTAACACACACCACCATCCAGACGCAGACAGGTAACACACACCACCATCCAGACGCAGACAGGTAACACACACCACCATCCAGACGCAGACAGGTAACACACACCACCATCCAGACGCAGACAGGTAACACACACCACCATCCAGACGCAGACAGGTAACACACACCACCATCCAGACGCAGACAGGTAACACACACCACCATCCAGACGCAGACAGGTAACACACACCACCATCCAGACGCAGACAGGTAACACACACCACCCTCCAGACGCAGACAGGTAAACACACACCACCATCCAGACGCAGACAGGTAACACACACCACCATCCAGACGCAGACAGGTAACACACACCACCATCCACATTTAGAACTATACTTCCATGTAGTGTTGTTGACCTGAGTAGCATTGTAAACCTAGTCCTCTCTCTCTCTCTCTCTCTCTCTCTCTCTCTCTCTCTCTCTCTCTTCTCTCTCTCTCTCTCTCTATCTCTCTCTCTCTCTCTCTCTCTCTCTCTCTCTCTCTCTCTCTCTCTCTCTCTCTCTCTCTCTCTCCTCTCTCTCTCTCGCTCTCTCTCTCTCTCTCTCTCTCTCTCTCTCTCTCTCTCTCTCTCTCTCTCTCTCTCTCTCTCTCTCTCTCTCTCTCTCTCTTCCCCTCCCCCACATTTTGTCCCTTTGTCCCTTAAAGCCGTGGATTTTGTCCATCCTCCCCCAATTCAGAACGTATCATTAACATAGTCATGGCACCCTTTGTGTAAGAGCTATTGAAGAATGAAATCTGAAATCGTGTTTTATTTTACTTTATTTTAAAAGGTGTGGATTGTTCTCCATCCACCCCTGATTCAGAATCGACCATCTTCATAGTCATGGCATGCTTGGTTCAACAGCTATTGAGGAGAGAGAACCAAATATCCACCGACTATCCAATATAAAACTCATTTTACCTCGGTAGCCGAGTCAACGTCTTGGAAGATCACAATGATTCATTAGTATTCTACATAACAGAACCAAGTATAATAGCACAGTATAACGTTACTGTTACACCAAAAACACCAACTCATTTCTTATGAGATTTTAGGATGGTTTAGCTGAACGGTCCCCTAAAACATTATCATGGGCTACAACTCAACAACGCGCGCCACTAGGCAGAATGAGCTTTGATTGAAACATAACACAGGAAGGCTTGTATAGTTTTGTTAACACCATCTGCTCTAATGTTCTCACCAAACAGTAATTGAGGGAGATCTAAATGCATGTTCCCATAAAACGGATTGAGATCAAATGATTGACATGCAGATGCAGTTTGGACAATTCACTGGACAATGACTACATGGAACTCTATTCCACATCAAGTACCTGATGCAAGCAGGAAAATGAAAAATGCACGTTGTGGAACAGCGGGGACTGTGAAGCAACACATACACAGGCACAGACACACACACACACACACAATAACATACGCACTATACACACAGATTTTTGTACTGTAGATATGTGGTAGTGGTGGAGTAGGGGCCTGAGGGCACACAGTGTGTTGTGAAATCAGTGAATGTATTGTAATGTTTTTAAAATTGTATGAACTGCCTTAATTTTGCTGGACCCCAGGAAGAGTAGCTGCTGCCTTGGCAGGACCTAATGGGGATCCATAATAAATCCCTACTCTTCCTGGGGTCCAGCAAAATTAAGGCAGTTATACAATTTTAAAGCTAATGGGGATCCATAATAAATACAAATACTGCTAAAACGTGAAGAACTCGGCCAACATGTTGTATTCATCTAGGCTACACCGTCCCGCAAAATCACCCAGTTGGTCACTCTACTCCCCCCCTTCTCTAGTTTCCAGGGGAAGAATGGTTTATATATAATAGTAGTAATAATGTCTGTCCGTCTCTTCCCCAACCCCTCAGTGAGCTGGAGAACGGGGTGTCTCCGGGCCATACCCCTCTTGGCTCCCAGAGCTGCCAGAGTCCCAGCCTGACCCTGCACCCTTCCTTCCCCCAGGGGGGTCGACGAGAGTCCTTCCTCTACCGGTCAGACTCGGACTACGACATGTCGCCCAAAAACTCCGTCTCACGCAACTCTATCGCCAGCGAAGGGTGAGAGGGGGGAGGGAGAGTGTGGGGAGGAAGAGTGTTAGTGTGTGTATGAGTCAAACCATTGGCTAATTGTCATTAGCATAACTACATATCCTAATATACTCCTCGTTATGAATCTCTGCTATCTATTATCGCTGTGCTCTATTCTGTCTGTCTCTACAGATCGAGAGAGAGAGCGAGAGAGAGAGAGAGCTAGAGAGATTATATCGCGAGAGGAGAGAGAGAGAGCGAGAGCGCTCTAGAGAGCGAGATCTCTCTGCTCTTGCTCTCTCTCTCTCTCTTCTCTCTCTCTCTCTCTCTCTTCTTTCTCTCTCTCTCTCTCTCTCTCTCCTCTCTCTCTCTCTCTCCCGCCTCTCTCTCTCTCTCTCTCTCTCAGGCATGCAGGAGAAGACTTCATTGTTAACCCCTTTGCTCAGGTGTTGGCCAGCCTGCGCTCGGTACGGAGCAACTTCACCCTCCTCGCCAACATCTCCACGCCAACCGTCAAGTCAGTGCTCACCGCCTATCACCTGTCAATTCAAACATCTAACAGTTGGTCTGCATCCCAAACGGTGTCCTATTCTCTGTATAGTGCACTACTTTGGACCAGGGCCCCATAGGGCTGCCATATAGTGCACTACTTTGGACCAGGGCCCCATAGGGCTGCCATATAGTGCACTACTTTGGACCAGGGCCCCGTAGGGATGCCATATAGTGCACTACTTTGGACCAGGGCCCCGTAGGGCTGCCATATAGTGCACTACTTTGGACCAGGGCCCCGTAGGGATGCCATATAGTGCACTACTTTGGACCAGGGCCCCGTAGGGCTGCCATATAGTGCACTACTTTGGACCAGGGCCCCGTAGGGCTGCCATATAGTGCACTACTTTGGACCAGGGCCCCGTAGGGCTGCCATATAGTGCACTACTTTGGACCAGGGCCCCATAGGGATGCCATATAGTGCACTACTTTGGACCAGGGCCCTGTAGGGATGCCATTTGATTATTTGGAGTTCCCTACCTCACTTACCCAGTTAGCTAGCAAATTAAAATGTGTGTTTTTCATGTAACTGGTTTGTAACTGATAACTGATGTGATATGTGACTTGTAAAAAATGTTGTTGTTGTAACTCGCTGTCTGTCTACCTCAACTAGCCAAATAACGCTAATGATAGTAATAGGTTACATTTACTACCACTTTTCAATGGGCCTCAAACAACACCGATATTTAATACTCAGTCTGAACTTCACTCCCAGGCAAAATCTAACTATAGTAACCCCCGTTGATTTTTAACTGGTTGGTGTAATTCCCTGTCTGTCCACAGGAGGTCTCCACTGGGTGGTGTGGTGCCCCACAACCCCAGAGCAGCTCTATCAGATCAACAGTATGAGCAGCTGGCTACAGACACTCTGGAGGAGCTGGACTGGTGTCTGGATCAGCTAGAGACCATCCAGACACACCGCTCTGTCAGCGACATGGCCTCCAACAAGGTACTACCATGGTAGAACCACAACACAACCATGGTAGAACCACAACACAACCATGATAGAACCACAACACAACCATGGTAGAACCACAACACAACCATGGTAGAACCACAACACAACCATGATAGAACCACTACACAACCATGATATAACCACTACACAACCATGATATAACCACTACACAACCATGATATAACCACTACACAACCATGATATAACCACTACACAACCATGATATAACCACTACACAACCATGATATAACCACTACACAACCATGATATAACCACTACACAACCATGATATAACCACAACACGACCATGATATAACCACTACACGACCATGATATAACCACAACACGACCATGATATAACCACAACACGACCATTATATAACCACTACACAACCATGATAGAACCACTACACAACCATGATATAACCACTACACAGCCGTGATATAACCACAACACAAACCATGATAGAACCACATGGCCTCCAACAAGGTACTACCATGGTAGAACCAACAACACTACCATGATAGAACCACAACACAACCATGATAGAACCACAACACAACCATGATAGAACCACAACACGACCATGGTAGAACCACAACACAACCATGCTAGAACCACAACACAACCATGATAGAACCGCAACACAACAATGATATAACCACTACACAACCTGATATAACCACAACACAGCCATGATATAACCACAACACAGCCATGATATAACCACAACATAGCCTTGATATAACCACACAACACAAACCATTGATAATTATAACCCACTCAACAACACATTATATAACCACTTACACAAACCATGAATATAACCACTATCACCAGCCCATGGGTATAACCACAACACCAACCATGATTATAAACCGCAACACAACCAATGATACAAACCACAACACAACCATGGATATAACCGCAACTACAACCATGATTATCACCGCAACACAACCCATGATGATAACCACTAACACAAGCCCATTGATATAAACCAACTACACAACCATGATATAACATTTACATTTTAGTTCATTTAGCAGACGCTCATTATCCAGGAGCGACCTTACCAGTTAGTGAGTGCATACATTTTTTCATACTGCCCCCCCGTGGGAAACGAACCCACAACCCTGGCGTTGCAAGCGCCATGCTCTACCAACTGAGCTACAGTGGACTACCACAACACAACAATAGAATCTCAGCACAGCTTCAACACTTATGAGCAGTAGAACTGACTAACCATACAGTAAAACATCCTCAAACTGCTCCCACCCTCTCTCTCTCTCCCTCCCGCCTCCCTCCCTCCCCTCCCTCAGTTTAAGAGGATGTTAAACAGGGAGCTGTCTCACCTATCAGAGATGAGTCGTTCTGGTAACCAAGTGTCTGAGTACATCTCAAGCACCTTCATGGGTGAGTATTCTACCTGTACATACCTGGATTCACCTGAATTCACCTGTCTATGTATTTACCAGTCTGTTCATACCGGTCTGTTTGTTCATAGACCTGACTGTTCATACCTGTCTGTCTGTTCATACCTGTCTGTGTATTTACCTTTCTGTTCATACCTGTCTGTCTGTTCATACCTGTCTGTCTGTTCATACCTGTCTGTGTATTTACCTTTCTGTTCATACCTGTCTGTCTGTTCATACCTGTCTATACCTTTCTACATCTCTATACCTGTCTACCTGTACTTGGCCGGCCGTACATTCTGTGACCTGGGTAAATCTGAGTGTGCCTGCGCTCGTGTGTGTGTGTGAATGTGTGTGTGTCTAACCCTAGACCGGCCCAACGAGGTAGAGCTGCCGTCCCCTACTCTAAAGGAGAAGTCTATGTTGTCTCTAACCCTAGACCAGCCCAACGAGGTAGAGCTGCCGTCCCCTACTCTAAAGGAGAAGTCTATGTTGTCTCTAACCCTAGACCGGCCCACGAGGAGAGCTGCCGTCCCCTACTCTAAGGAGAAGTCTATGTTGTCTCTAACCTAGACCGGCCCAACGAGGTAGAGCTGCCGTCCCCCACTCTAAAGGAGAAGTCTATGTTGTCTCTAACCCTAGACCAGCCAACGAGGTAGAGCTGCCGTCCCCTACTCTAAAGAGAAGTCTATGTTGTCTCTACCCTAGACCGGCCCAACGAGGTAGAGCTGCCGTCCCCTACTCTAATAAAGGAGAGTCTATGTTGTCTCTAACCCTAGACCAGCCACAACGAGGGTAGAGCTGCGTCCCCTACTCTAAAGGAGAAGTCTATGTTGTCTCTAACCCTAGACCAGCCCAACGAGGTAGAGCTGCCGTCCCCTACTCTAAAGGAGAAGTCTATGTTGTCTCTAACCCTAGACCGGCCCAACGAGGTAGAGCTGCCGTCCCCTACTCTAAAGGAGAAGTCTATGTTGTCTCTAACCCTAGACCAGCCCAACGAGGTAGAGCTGCCGTCCCCTACTCTAAAGGAGAATCTATGTTTCCTAACCTAGACGCCAACGGGTAGAGCGCGTCCCCTACTCTAAAGGAAAATCCCCTCCCCAAAAACCCCCCCCTGGAGAGTTATGTGTCTTAACCTAGAGGCCAAGAGGGAGAGCTGCGTCCCTACTTAAAGGAGAGTTATGGTCAACATAGAACGCCCCAACAGTAGCTTTCCGTCCCACCTTTGGGGGCCAACCCAAAGGGGGAA